CCATTATTTTGGCGCAACGTAACGAAAAATATAATTTTAAACAATTCGAATCATAACTTAATTTTTTTAAACCACATCATTTTTGAGAAAATCGATGACAAAAATTCCGTGCCTAATGACGTCATAAAACTGCTTCCCAATACGCTCGAAGTGTAGGCGCTTCCTTTTTTTCTCTTTGTTATTGATACATTATAAAATGTTTCACTTTTTCGTCTTGTGAATAAAAGCTATCAAATACCGTAGACATACATTGGTTTTCAATTGACCAGTATTCGCCATTGTGCTTTGCAGGAGGTCAAAATAACGCGTGGTAAGTTGTGTTTAACCCTTTGAAACACATTTTCAGCAATAAGACAAATTGTGGAAATTTTCGCTGTTAGGCCGAATTTGAACTTTATTATTCCATTGGATTATGGCTTAAAGACTATGATACTTAGCTTAAAAATACTCTAAAGACATTCTCTTAAAAATGGAAGCTTACAAAAGATCGCGTTCAACAAAATCTTGGAGCCCCTCATAAAATATGAGGCACATTAAAATACATCATCGGTGCTCTTAATTTTTAAGCCCAAACGCCCAGAATGAGGAAACTTGATGATTTACAATTAATTTCCGCGACAAACATTAATGATATCAAACAAATATCCCTCCTTACCTCCGTATATATTTCTAAATCATAATCTTTTGTCGTTCATCTTGACGAAATCTCAACGTTAAATTTTCCTCCACCAAAAAATAACTGCATCGAAGGTGCGAAGAAAACAGTGTCGAATTCTACTGTGGAAAAACGCCGTAAGTACATTCGAATGCAGCCTAAGCACGTCTAATACAATATTTATTTTTAGAAAAACGTAAGAGTATACCTCACTGAAATTTTCGAACCCTTCATATTCGATTGCGATTGAAATTATTTGAAAAATTCGGAAAAGAATACACATACATTATGAAGGGAAAATGGCTTTTACGAGCAAAAATTTTGCAACGTGCGAATATTCATACGATGTTTCTTCTCAGCACGACGAATCGGAGGGAGGAGAAATAGCTGAGCCCGAAAACAATGCCGCGGCATTTTAAATGATCAGTCATCGAGCAAAGAGGGTGGGAAAGAGAGAGTGTTCGAGGAAGAGGGTGGGCTTAATAGGCGTTCGCTTTTCCAATTGCCACGAAAATTGAAGGGGTTAAGACGTCTTTGACTGTCTTCGATTCAAATTAAGCGCCGTTTATCTTACTCTCAGTTCGCACAATGATTACCACAGGCTTATTGTTGATGTTCAGAGGAGCGCAATTTATTAATGAAATCCAAAATTATTTGTGACCGAGCCGCGGAAAATGTGCCTTAAGATGCAAATTCAAAGTGTTCAATACATCGGAAGAACTGGTTTGGGAAGAGGTAGCATTGCCGGGAGGGGGGGGGGTCAGGCCTAGTTGTCTAGATCCCCCCCTCTCACTCTATGACTGGAAAAACTTTCCCCATAAGGTTTCCCATAAGGTTTTCATGATCATTAGGGATCACTGAGAAAAAATGTGCTTAGCTCAAGCATGAAGATTCTTGAATTTGCTGCCAAGAATGTATTTTATCTTGATTTAAGCTGAATTGTTCTTAAAACAAGAAAAAAATGATCAGGGTAAGCAATAAAGTAGTTGATATTAAATACAAATAAAAAATGTCTTGATTCGAGAAAAAACAACTTCTTGGCGGCAAATTTAAGATTCCTTTTTTTTCCAGTGATATATTCTACCTTCAATTCTTCAAGAAACATGTTTGACCGTAGATCCCCCACCGCTGTAAATATTTCTTGGTTAAGCCACCGTTAGAACTAGGGTATCGATATTTAGTTTTTTATACTAAATATATCTTAATACTCTCAAGGCCTATGGATCGAAGTAACAAGCCATAATTTACTTTATCAATGATGCTGTTGTTATTAAATGTTGAATGTTCATCGATACCGATATTGAATGTTTCCGAGACCAACAGCAACTCCAGCAAACTTTAATTGCGGTTTTCTTAAATTCCTCATCCTCCGTACTTGAACTTTGCATTGTTTTCAGAGGGTCCAATTTGGGGATTTTTGGGGTTTTCTGTGTGCCAAATGATGTAGAATTAAATCTTCTAAGCTGTAATCCTTGTGAACCTGGTATTGGAACTTGAAACGCAACTTTTTAAGTCACAACCTATCAAGTAGTTCGTTAAAATAACATGCCAAAGGAGCGATGAAGAGGTGAGAATAAATTGTAATTTACTCACTTCTTGAGGAATGAAATTGAGTTTCTGGGAAGGATCGACACCTTTATAATCGAGTGCATTAAGGGGAGAAAGGAAGATTAAATCGAATTTTTCCGCGGATTCGAAACTGCAACTGACGAGAAGAAACTTCACGAGTAGCTTGGAAAAAGTTAAAATGAAAACCTCTGTTCTGAGAAAAAAATTTAGTGGGAAGCCCGATGAATGGATCTTCGTTAAACTTTCCGATGCTGCCATTTTGGAATGATCAAGGAAACGTGCAATTCAAATAGTAGGAGATTTTAAGTAAATATTCGACGTTTTAAAAATGGCACCTAATACTGCCTCTGGAGTTTTTTTTTTTTCACCTTATGTTATGACAAAATAGATGAAAACAAGTCCAAAGTGTTTCGCAGTAAGAATGCTGAGCACATAATATGGCATAAAATGAGGTGTGGTGGTAGTAATATGCGTTTATTTTAGAGCAATGCCTTAGCATCTATAGCCATTTACATCTCTGTAGTTAGGTAGCAGGGTTTTTTTTACGAAACAATGGGGAAATTACTACCAAAAATTAGGGGGATGGGTGATAATGGAGCAACTAAAATGGGTTCTTTCCAGCGGTCTGCCGGCAACTCGAGCAAAGACCAAGTCTATGAAAGAATTCGTGAAACAATGAAGATTAAAAATGAACAGTACACGACGTCATGTCCGAATATTCATAGTAAAAAAATTGTCGAGCAATTTTTGACTAACAGTAGATTGGGTGCAAGGGTCGAATGGCCAATTATGGTTGCAATTCTCTGTCCTCCAAAAAATTCCCGAATTTTTACTCTGTTTAGTTTCATTGCACAGATTATAGTATATTGTAGACATGCGCAAAGAACATCGGTGAAAGTTCTGCTACGATACATGCATCCAAATGGAAAATACCTCTATATGACATCACATGGCTATTTCTCGAACCGTTGAATCCACTCTTCTCCCAACTGCCGAATCATAAAAAAATGATTATACAATACTGTGAGGTCAGCTCATCACGCACTTTCAAATATAACAAGTGTATTTTCTCATGCGGATTCTCAATCGGGCTGCGAGTTCCCCAAAAAATGTGTTATTTCGCGAAGGTTGATCTGAGTATTTTGTTGCACTGCAGCACTGATATGACTGTATTGCTTAAGTACGCCCAGCTCAGTGGCGGGGCGTGAATGATCGATTATTATCGATACCATGTGCAGCTGTGGTGAAGAATCGATCATCAAGGTGTTTGTTGCGAACTCTCTGTTTATCGATCCTTTTCCATAGATTTATATGAGAGATCAATCGATATATCGCAAAGCACGCCACGCAAAAGGACCAATTCTGTTTACGAATCGAAGAATCCCTTTCATCCTCAGTGTTTCATTAGATCATAAGCATTAAGTTCTCGACAGCATTTCAGCATCCGCCTCCCTTCACAGATTCGTGGAAAAGCAGAGAAATCGTCGCCTACCTGACATAAGGGCGTAACTACACTCTGCGTTGAACCCTGTCCTTTATATAATTCAATGCTATTCCGGGCTCATCTCAATGTGTAGTTACGCCCTTGTGCCAGCCAAGCGACGAAATGCGCAGCGTTACGGAGGTAGGCTAAAATATACAGTGGTGTAGTACAGAGCGGTTCCCAGAGTCTCGAGGCGACTCTCCATACCTTTCCGGGAAGATCGCGACCTTCCTGCCGTGCTAAGGAAGAGCGCTGTACGATCATTCAGACGAAGCCATATTTCCTTCAATTAAAGTCTAATTTACTAGGAAAATCGTGAATATTTTGCTTCAATTTTTTCAGACATCCTGTTCGCAATTTTATCTATAATGTCTGAAAATTTCAAGGAAAAATACGCATATTTGTCTTCAAAAATGAATACTTTATCCGAGGCGATTTGGCAACTCTCGAAAGTTCATACGGTGCTCTTCCTTAGCATGGCAGTTTACCACCCCGTACATCACTTGCGAACATTTACCTTTACTGTCGCGAAATTCGTCATTCCAAGGAGCGTAACTCAATTCCAAGGATGCAAAATTGACTCATACGATTCGTTTTTTTTTTTTTTTTTTTTTTTTTTTTTTTTAAGAGAATAAACCTCGAGTATAATTTTCGTCGAAAATTGGTTTGGTTTTTGCATGAGATAAGATGAAAATTTTGTGACATTTCCAGTCAGAAATTCTCAGAATTCTCCCTGTAAGAATGCAATTTGCACGGAAAAATCTGGCAACAATGAAATGTGGTTACGTTCTTTCGTGAAAGAAATATCGAATTGTATGTGACTCGAAAGTCTTGCTTACACATTTCACGAGGAGGAGTATTAGAACAATCGACACTTTGTCCTCCAAGCCCCTCATTTTGTCTTGTATCCCATTTATTATGAAAAGGAATTGGACGGAGTTAAACAGAAAGGAACCAAGTCACATCGGGATCGAACCGAGAAAAAGAGGTTTAAATTTTGGCTCCTGCATAAGACTCAATGTAAACGATAAACTTCAAGTTCAATTTCTGCAAAATTCGCTATAACAAAAACTTTGAATTTTTGGCGATAGATAGTAGAGCAGTGGTTGAGTTCAAAACCACTCATAATTCAATTTTTTCCAAAATGTGGGTTGGTTCCTTTCTGCTCTTAACTCAGTCCAATTTAAACAATTTTACAAAATGATCCTCAATGCCGGGTATTCGGAAGCCTAGTATGTCCTCAGTTGAGGCTTTACTTCAGACAAAATATTTGTAAACTTGTTTCGTTTCCAGTTTGAGCTGGAGTTGGAATGCACGATAAAGGCTCACTTGGACAAGGAGAAAGGGTTGACGAGCCCCGAATTCTGTCCACGAACGTGGGACTCGCTGCTCTGCTGGCCGCCGACACGCCCGGGTTCTGTCGCCCTCCAACCCTGCTTTAGCGAGCTCAACGGCATCCCCTATGACACCACCCGTAAGTACACTCTCAAGCTCCATGCATGTCACGTCAGTGTTACGCTTGAAAACAACGCTAATCAGCGACACAACCATTGGCGGATCCAGAAAATTGGCAACATTGTGTTTCTCGATTTAAACCTATGGAAATGTATCGATCCGTGTTGGGACCAGGTACCCTGCTGACAAGAATCGATCATTTAAGGGTTTGAACGGAGGGGATCCGGTGTTGCCAAATCGCTGGATCCGCCTCTGGATACCTCAAATGAAAAGAGTATAGAAGGTGATAGACTGATTTAGTGACCACGTCATTCAGTTGAAAATATCGAACTCTTTGTTTAAACCAAAAAAAAATTTAACATGACCTCATGTACGAATTTTTCATAAATTAATCGCGGTAATTTATTAAAATATAGTCATTGACCGGTCATAAATCAATTGAAGACTCATTAGACACGAGAAATTTTGATTGTAAGAAACAATTGGACGCATTTTACCACCGTAGCGCGAAGGACGCGAATATTAGAAACAAGGTTCTGTGTTTGTATACATTTGAACCATAGGTTCGATATTATATCGAATGACGTAAATCAGTCTATGGCAGGACTAGTCTGCCATGCAGGGGAAGAACGCTGTTCGAGCCTTAAGGCGTTGCAAAATTTCCTTTGACGCGCTTTCATCCCTTTCTAAAGAACGTGCGCGTCGACGACGGCGCAGAGATACAACTATTCGTGCTCGACGGATGTCCGTGTTGCGTCTGCGAAATTGAAGGCGCTGTGGTGCGAGGCGTGGAGTCGCAATGCTTTGCTCTATGCGTACCAATGGGATGTTGCTCAGATTCGAGTGAAAAGAAAGAAGTCCGATTACACCTCTCCTATTTTCGGCTGTGTTGCTCACGTAGCTCTTGAAGCAACACTACAAATATGACAAACGGAAACATCACAACATGGGATTAGAGCAAGGAAAAGGACGCGCGTTGTTGACGGCGCAGAGATACGACTATTCGTGCTGGACAGATGTCCGTGTTGCATCTGCAAAATTGAAGGAGCGATGGCGTGAGGCGTAGAGGAAAATGCCGTATGACCCGTTAGACGTTGCCACTTTTCTCTCAATAAAAAACAAATTCACTGGGAAAATTCTAATTATTTGTCTTCCAATTTTTCAGAAAATGTTTTCACGATTCAATCTAAAATATCTGAACATTCCAGATAATATCTACTTAACTTTTCACAAAAATAAATGTTTTGTAGGGGGAAATTTAGCAGCAGCAAAATTCTCACACTACGCACAGGCACAGTGAATCGAGCCAATAGGAGAGGTCGGACAAACTTTTGAAACTTTCAACGCACGCTTATAACTCCATTTATACAAAATTTTGAGGTTCTGAGAGTGGTTCCATTGGTTTTCTCGTGCAATTTTCTGCTATCAGCATCCTTAGAAATTTAAAATGTGACGAAATAAACATCAAAATTTGTAGTTTTAGTCAACAATTTCGTGTCCGACCTCTCCGATTGACTCAAACCGAGGGCCTTGTCGCATCTAGTACCGAGTACATTAAAGCATAAATATCATAGAGGAAAGTAACTGGTAAATATGAAGGACATTTTAACATTTCAGCAAAATAAAATTTTACTTTGCATCTCTGCCCCCGACGATGCATTTTTGCATGCGTGAAATCTCAGTCGGGATATGCGTAACGGGGGTGAAATCCACTGGAGCCATCGATTTCCAAGATAATTGTTGCTGGTTGCATACGCAACCCCTGAAACTCGTCGGAATCTCATGGAAAATGAAATTTTACTTTAGATCTCTAGTCAAACATTTCATGTCTGACCTCTCTAATGGAGATGTTGCGTGTGTGAGGAATTTGCGATTTGACTGTTGATTCTTACGTACAAGTTCGCGAGAAACACGATGGTGCCACTGATTTTCTCTGAAATCAACTCCCAAGCTCAAAAAAAGCTCTCAAGTTGAGGCCAAAATGGAGGGGATATCCCACCCTACCCTGAGAGTCCACGTCTACATCAAGACCAACTCTCCATGCAAAGATAGGGAGCAAATACATTGACAGGGCTGCCACTTTATTTGGGGACTCCACAACTGAAAACACGGCAACCCTACTAATGTATTTGCTCCCTATCTTTGCATGGAGAGTTTGTCTTGAAGTAGAGGTGGAATCTCAAGATAGCGTGGGATATCCCCTCCATTTTGGCCTCAACTTGAGAGCTTTTTTTGAGCTTGGGAGTTGATTTCAGAGAAAACCAGTGGCACCATCGTGTTTCTCGCGAACTTTCACATAAGAACCAATGGTCAAATCGCAAATCCCTCACACATGCAACATCTCCATTGTTGCTGGTTGCATACGCAACCCCTGAAACCTGTCGGAATCCCATGGAAAATGAAATATTACTTTCTATCTCTGGTCAAAAATTTCATGTCCGACCTCTCTAATTGCCTCGATCCACTGTGCGGCGTTTTTCCTCAGCACGGCACTGTTAAGGAAAGGAATACTACCGTTTCTGTCGGGTGTCCAGCGATCCATTCCTCAACCTTACGCCCGGAAAAATCCATTCGGTTTTCCTCATGGCGTACCTCGGGTCGAGGGTGGGGCGGGGGTGAAATCCGGGTAGTTCCTTTCCATGTCCAATTTCTCCCCTGGATGCACGTCCGCGCTCCCGATTCGCCTTGGATTGGAGTTAATTCGAGCCGGTCTTAATTCCCCGTCGGTCAAGTGGTCGCGGTCGTCCGTGCCCGCCGCCGACCGCGCTCCGCGCGCCGGGACGAGTGCTTCGCGGAAAACGCTCCTGGCAGCGCCGGGAAAGGACCCTCCACGTCAGTGGCGAGGCGTGCTTTGCGATACATCGATTGATTTGCCATTTAAACCTATGGTAAAGGATCGATCAACAAGGTGTTCGCAGCGAACACCTTAATAATCGATTCTAATCATAGGTTTAAATGGCATAACAATCGATATATCGCAATTCACGCCACGCCACTGCTCCACGTTACCGGGCAGATTCGCCCCCGTCCGGGTCAGCCGCCGTCACAGCCCAGCCTGGCAGTGACAGACTTCGCCCCCGCCATGTTGCCGCAGACCCCGACTGGTTTTTCGCATCGGTGTTGGCAGAGATAGAAAGAAAAATTTCATTTTCCGTGGGATTCCGGCGATTTTCAGGGGTAGCGTATGCAAAATGCGACAATTATCCGGAAAATCGATGGCTGTGACGGACTTCACCCCCGTTGCCGCAGATCCCGACTGAGATTTTGCGCGAGTAAAATTTTGTTTTCCGTGGGATTCCGGCGATTTTAAGGGGTTTATTCCAAAATTCGAGAAGACACTGATCTAACTCATGATGTTTTAAAACCTTCGGCTCAAGATGCACATAGATGGTGCGACTGAAAAAAACGCGTATTTTGTTTGCGATATTTCAAAATTTTCCATCCTATTTCATCACGAACAAAGCAACAGTACTGTCGTGCTAAGGAAAAACGCCGTGTGAACATTCGAGAGTTGCCAGATTCCCTTCGATAAAGTATTTATTTTTGAGGAAAGTTATGAATATATTTCCTTGAAATTTTCAGGCGCTTAAGGTGAAATGGCGAATAAAATAATCAGAAAAAGGGGAAGAAAAACACTCATAGGTTTACTACAAAATTCGTGTTTTATTGAAGAAATTTTAGCAACACCTAAAGGTTCATACGACATTATTCCTTGGCACGGCAGTGCTGCTTGAAATTTTCTTAAAATTTGTTTCACACAGAGAGGCAAAATGAAGGAGGTTCTGAGAAACCGCGGCTGGGTACTTTACCGATTCAAGAATGAATGTTGTGGTAGTTTGCAGCACAGCATAAACCAACATACGCGTTTTTACAGTTCCGCCATTCATATTCGATGCACCATACGTTCTTATCAACTGGCCTGGAAAATTCAATAGAATGGCACACGAGGCAGGCCGAAATTTAATCCCGTTTGCAAACTTTTCAATTTTAGTTCGATCAGAGCAAGCCGCGAACGTAGCATCCGTCCTCGCATTGTGTCAAACGAATGTAAATTATTCGAACTGCGAAGGGACGAAGGGAAAGAAGTAACCGCGTATGAGACGTCGGCCGCGGGAACAGTGATCGCCTTTTTGACGGCTAATCCAGCACCTTCGAGCATTTCCATTGCAAATTTTCGTCGCGAGTGAATTCGCAATTAGTTTTCGTAACGGTCGCGGATCGGAGCGACACAGTCGCACGCGGCGTTGCGCAGTGGGACTGCATTTTGCAATTAGGAACTATAAATTCCGGCCCGGTTTGAAAACAACGTATGTGCCATTTGTTTTTCTATGCACATAAAGGTTTTCGGATGAGCCGGAATTTATAGTTCCAAATTGCAAAATGCAGTCCAGTTGCGTTTAAATAACTTCAATCAATCGATTAAGGTGCGGATATAACACAGCCGTGCTAAGGTGATATGCCATCTAGCGTTTTAATGCTGCCTTTCTCCCGGTGAAATAGTGATTTTTGAGGGAAGTGGAAATGTATTCTTGAGAATCCTAAATAGAGTCTGGATCCTATAAGGGTCTCTGTAGGTCCTACTGTCCACACAGTATCTCTGCGGAGGAAAGCTGACGCCTTTAGTTTTATCCGATTTGGCATTAGAGTGCTGTAATGAATGACGCTGTGATGTATAAAACAAATTGCAAATCTAACCTCAAATTTACAAAAATGTTGAAATTATTTCTTAGTCCTGCAAAATCGTCAATTTACAAATAGGCGGTTTTGTTCCTTCGTCATCGATATGCATTTTGTTTAAAATTCATCGTATTCAAAGTGGTGTTAGATAATACTTTGCGAGCTGACAACCCTTGCGAAGAGCTTTGCAGGGGCTTTTCACGCTTGAATCGGGGCAAATCGATGGGCACCCAGAAATGTAAATGCTCCCGCAAGAGCTGAGCGAATCCCCGAAGATTCGCCAAGACGTGGAGCCAAACAAACTGAGCCGATTTTACACCGGCACTGAAATGATAATGAGTT